CACACATATAGTATTATATATATATAATATATATATATGCATATATAAAGTAATATTGATGATAGTGAAAACTATGCCTTCTTTATCTTGTGAAGTGGAAGAAGCTGACTTAGGGGTAAAGCATGGAGAGGATTAGTACAAATCCTTCTTCAAGCAGATGGAGGGTCCTGAAACTGATGCCTCGAGCCGTCTCTGCCCATATGTCCCTTGGAAAGCCTCCTGTACAGCCAGGTGTGTGCACACCCCACTTTGAAGAGTGTTGGATTGAGTTTGTATATTGAGTTTGAAGGCTCAGCTTTATCTCTAACTAAAAACGCTTGGCAGGCAGTTAGAGGTGCACCTCTGTAATACAGCAAATTTCCCAGGCTCCTACCTCCTGGAGGCTAGGAGCACCAACACTAGTCACAACCTCTCATTTGCTGTTACGTTTGTGAGAAATCAGTGGGCTGACTGTTTTCAACACAAAGTGGCTTACCTTAGTGGCCACTGTTACATGCAAGCCATCAGGGTGATTGATCATTCAGTACTTGTGTGGCTCTCTACAGTTACACGTTTTTCCTGCTGCTTACAGTGCTAATTAGTTCTATGAAATCCATGGGATTGCCCATGGTAAATGGTTTAAATGGCCAAAAAAAAAAAAAAAAAGGAATTAATGTTCTACCTGCTTCCTTCTCACATTACACAAATAGGTTCATAGTCTGTAGATTGCTCTTTTTTCCCTTTGTATATATTGGGAAGATTCTCTCAAGAAAGTGCAGTGTTGTGTCTAAAACTACAGATGTTTTATTACTTTGTGATATCATTTTCAATGAAAAAAAATTCCAAGGTCTGATGCTCATTTTATCAAGTTAAAACAGCTAAAGAAACATTCCACTTTGAATAAACAAGACATCAAGGAAATGGCAGTCCCCTCAGGGGACTACATGTTACACACTTTGATAGGTTATCAATAATTTACCTGTTATAGGAAGGAAGTAAATATGACTGCCTGGGCCTTGGAGAGAGGACACAACAGTTAAGAGTGCTCATATAGCACTTACATTGGACAAACACATAACTCTAGCTCCTGGAACTCCAGTACCCTCTTCTAGAGTCTGCTGTACTCTGGAAGGAAGCCTGTATACACACAAATACACACACACACACACACACTCTCTCTCTCTAAAAATAAGTCTTTAAAGAAAAAAAAGAATAGAATTTGACTATTGAATGCAGGTTATCACATTTTAATTTATTCACATTATTATGTAAAATTAGGCACCTCAGTTTTTGGATTGGGGTTTATTAATTTTATAAAGTTGAGTATCCTTTTATATCTTTTAATAAAGTGTTCCATTTTTTGTTGAAAAATGTATTCCTAGGAACATCACCAATGGAAGTGTCCCAACTGTTCTCAAAAGTAGAAACTGATGTTAAGCTATAAGTTCCAGAGTGTTCTCCAGCTTTGACAGTTTTATTTCCTAGCATCTTACTCCAGTTCGCATGTCTAGTTCATGAAAAACATTTATTAAACATGAATTATTTGCAGAGTAATGACAGACACTCTTTGAAAGTCAGACTTCACTAGATGAGGAAATACCACTAAGTCTTTGTTTGTGGGGCTATCTACTAAGGCAAAGAATCAAAGTCTTAGCATTTGGCCATTGCTTCTCCATGAGAGTACACCCCTGCCTAAAATTTTCATATTAAAACATATTAGCCTCAACTACCTGTTGGCTATGCAGTGGAAATACTGTAACCAAAAAGGTCTCTACTTGGGGCAGCCTTTCTTTGAAGTAAAGAGTTCAGGGTCTGACCTGGATTCAGTCAACAAAGGAAGTTTCCAGACTAGCACCCTAGTGCTGAGGTAATCTAGTACCTGCTGGCAGTTCATTTTTGTTTGTTTCTTTAGTTGGTTAGTTTGTTAGGCTTATAACTATAGGCCATTAATTACTGGTTATTCCAAGTATGTGATGCAGTTTTTCCTTCAACTACACAAGCAGGAAGTGGGCAGCCGGTGAATGGGTTTTAGACATGGGCTTCATGGACTCCACCTCCCAGTGTCCTGAGTCCAAGCTTGCTAGCACAAGTGAGTAGCACAGGAGGTAGAGGGTTAACTTTCTAAGTGGTGGGTGTGATGATGACTCTAGTTTAGATCCCTTGCCCTTCCTCACAATCTCTTTGGATTGAGAAATAGGGCAATTTCTTTGTGTACAAAGGCACTCTTGCCACATAGTGTTAGTCACTGAACTCTTGGGTAGGCATATAGGTCATCCTGGACACTTGAAATCTTTCTAAAAACGCTGATTTAAGAAGATAGGCAATTCTTACTCTACATGACAATATAGAGATGTAAAATGACAGCACAGGACAAAACTCTGCAAATGATCTTAATAATTGGGGTAAAAAACTATACCCAAATATCTCTGTTAGAACCCTAAATATAAAAACTCTCTGCTCATTGCAGACATATGTAAAGGTGAAATAAATTCAGGTAATATTCATGCGGTAGTATATTATAGAATATTAGAAATATGAAGACGGTGAGGTTGGTGGTGGTGTTACTGTTGGTAAACATCCACTAAGATTGGTTTATGTAGTCCTGTGACTGTATGGAGTGAGGGCTAGTGTTGTGTCTGGCAAACTTGCCCACAGTTTGCTACATTTTGATCTGCTTCCAACATTGTATTCCTGTGCTTTCTCTGTCATGAGACACCTGTGAGAATTCTCTGCAGGCAGCCTTCCTCAGCAACATTTCTATCCTTTCTGGTACAACCCCCTTCACTTGTCAAATGTGCCTCTACTACTTCCTTTGGCTGTATGCAAATAAGGGAGTGCCAGGGTCCCCAGTACAAACTATTCTTTTGGTTATTTCACTTCTGTTTGGTTTACATTTTGATCCTAGTATCAACATTTTCTTTTCTTTGCTGCACTTTTATCTTTGTGGAGACAAGGAGATGTATGGATGAGCTGACCAGCAGATACCTAGTATCTAGGAACCAAAACACTTTGAAAGAAGTCACCCAGTTGGTTATTGATCACAATGGGCCACCTGTTTGGTGTGGGGGCTGCAAAGCCAGCAGTAAGGTTTGCAATTTATATAAAGATGTTTAATATACCATGGTGTGTGAAGTTTGAGGTGTGCTCTTGAGGAACTGATGCTGTTAGTTAAATCATAATAACTAAATATATGTTTATCAGGACTTTGCAAAGCAAAGATTGATGTAATAAGCTGCTGTCATATTGTGCAGATTGCATAGGGACTCCACCATGATTATGGTTTGTTTGGGCATGGTCATGTGTAGACAGGCTCATCTTGCTAAGGCTTTTTAGAGGTGACTTTAGAGGAGACTTTGTTCTCCCTATCAGGAAAGGCTGTATGTCCTGTGATAAAGAATAACTTCTAAGCTCCACTGCTCAGTATCTCCCATTGCACACTGCCTGGTAGGGGTAAGAGTTGCCTTGTTCTTAGTCAGGGCTCTGACAAAGAGAGGCTCCAGACCTTTGTGGGTACCTAGTAGGAACTGGGGACATGATGCAATATGTAGTATCTCCCAAAATATGTCACCTAAAAGTGATAGTTATATTCTGACAAAGCCATAAATCCTGTTCAAAGAGGATAGAGAAGTGAAGCCCACAGTATCCAAAGAGTTAACCTGAAGACTTTTGTTTGGACAGGACTGAGGTTACAGACAGCTATGTCAGATTGTATGTTTGCTAATGGAGCCCAGGATGTGTATATCCAAAGTCTAGGAGCCTGGGTACTGAGAATTATGACAGAAGTCAGGCTGAAGCTAAGAAGTTGCAGTCTTGGAGATCAGAAGGAATTCAATGAGAGCTCTGAGGCAAGCAAGCACTTTAAAATGGCTCTAGTCTCTCATGGCTGCTGCCTTAGCTCTCTATGTGCTCCCAATTCTGGGACACCTAATAGAGATGATTTTTAAATTGGGTCTTGAAGGCAGTGTAGGCCATGGTTGTCAGAAAGGGATGATAAATTAGGGGGTAGAGGAGACAAGAGCACAGCCAGTGTAGAGTACTCAGATAGGTAATTGTCTGACCTTCTAGGAAGGCAGAATAGGAGAGCTTGGGACTCAGGGTCTCCTAATGATCTCTTGTTATTACCATTCTGTTCTTGATGCTAATCTATTTTTAACCATGACTATATTAAACTCAATAAATCCTCCACAGTTTATTCAGATGGCTGCCCTTAATGTGCCCTGTCTCATAGTTTTCTGTGTCATTACTGCGTAATACTTAAATCTACCCACATACAAAGACTACTTAGAACTGGTACATACATGTGGTCTCATTTTAATCTAAAGGTGATCCAAATATCCTGTCCAAATGTTCTCTAACAGTCCCAATTAGAATAAAAAATATTTAAGTCAAGCAGGAGCCATCTGAACTTACATCTGTGTGTCTTGGCACATTAGATGGGATATTTGGAAAATAGAGTTAGTGTGTAACAATTTTGGTTTGATAGAGTCATAGTTGGGATAGGAACAGCACACTGAGTCAGTTATAGCCAAATGGTCACATTATATAGAAATATTCCAGGCAAGAGCTTTCAAATAGCTGATCTATATTATTGAACATACTGTTTTCCTAATAACTGAGTGTGTATTATTTCCTGGACATGTTCTGTAGACTCACCTTTAGCATTGGACCCAATGCTTTTGGGTAGTGTCTTACCAGTTTCCTAAGAACAGTGCTAAAGGGGTCTTGGCTACCACGGAATTACCATGCTGTGTCCTTGGCACAAGCAGGCTACATTTACTGCTTCATTATTGAGAGTGTTTTCCTCTAACCTTGTTCACACCATAAGTGATGCGATATGGGAGTTACCCACTGTGGGACAGGGAGTATGCTCCAGCAAACACCAAAAATTTTCCTACTTACACAGCTTTATAATTTTTTTCTGTGTGACTATTGCTGATTTGGGGGAGAATATATTAGTAAGAGGCTTAAGAATCTTTCAGTTATCTGAACTGTTTATAACATGAACATTTTTTTTAAATTAGGGCAATACACTTTCTTCAGTGAGACCAGCCAATGTATTAGAAATGATGAAAGAATGGAAAAATAATCCAGAAAGTGATGAGGACACCAAAACAGACGAGAAGACTACGCAGCCCATGAAAGAGAAGTTGAAAAGTAACCAGATGAGGGGAAAGGTCCTTGATGTCAATGACAGTTCATCTGCAAAGACAGCAAAACAGGTAGGAGGAACCACTGTGGCACACTCCAGTGCTCAGCACTGTCACTCACTGGGGACCCTGTGTGCAGCTCCATCATTTCACTGTGACTTGGTAACAAAGGCCTGCATCGTTCAGCAAGCGAGGTCCTTCTGTCTTCTAAGCCATGTGATTTAGCAGCAGCGCCTCAAATTTAGGATCAGTGGCTATTTGGAGTGGGGCCTTCAACTTTCTCTGTGAGAGAATGCATATAGATTGAGCTTCCCTAATCTGAACATCCAGCAATTTCAGATGAAGGACATTCAAACTGTAGTAAGTGCTGTAGGCTTTGAGGCCCTATTAGTCTCTGTCGTAACTACTCAGCTCTCATGGTACAGTATGAGCACTGCCACAGTCAGCAATGAGTGAACATGACTTTGTTCCAGCTAAGCCTTTTCTGATGAAACAGATGGTATGCCAGATTTGGCCCATGGCTCCAAATTAATAAGTTTTGTACTCTACCCAGCTATAGAATTTTGAATTAGTTTATATATTATGTGAAAAAGGTACTTATTATATTATACAGTTATTTGTGTATTGTTTCATAAAAACTCAAACTATATAAGTTTGATGTATTACCTGATTAGGTCTGAACAGTTTCATGTCTATGATATAGTTTTGTTAACATTGTGATTCTAGATTACAGTCTATTAACTGGATATCCAGATGATTTGCCCAGACAACCCCATATATACATATGTATGTTATGTATGTATGTATGTATGTATGTACGTACGTACGTACGTACGTATGTATGTATGTATGTATATATGTCAGTACAAATTTTTTTCTGTTTGGGTTCTCTCTCCTCTGTGTCCTAGCTCTTATTTAAATGCTGCATTTTGTGCTCAGGAGAGTCCAGATTTCTTCTTTTGTTGTTGCTTTCCAGTCAGTCCTCCACAGCCAGCAGATAGGCAGAGCACAAGGGGGACTGTCTGGGTGAGCCCTGCCCCATGCCCAGGGATGTGCTGTCCTACTGGCGCCACTCCCAGCCAAGACCCTTGCAGAAGGGTCCAGGGAGAACAACCTCCTGGCTGGGGTGTGTGTGTCTACTGGACAGTAAATGTCTGGATAAGAAGCTTAGCACAGAGACTTGGATTTTGTGATAGAATCACACTTTTACAATAATGTAAACATGAGTTTATTGAATTCCCTTCTTATTTCATCTGACAACAACTCCTACATTGCTTAGCACAATGTGTATTTTATATTCTCTTTGAAAATTGTATCCTAAAACTCATGTTTACATTTCCTTTTGTTGAAAATAGGTTGAAGATTTTCTGTTGACTGACATAGCAGCATACACAGTTACACATGTACACATCCATATGTACAGTATGTGTACATGTTTGTGTAGTGCATATGTGCATGCATCTAATGTATACACATACACAGATACACACTGCACATGTTTTCTGTGGTGCTGAGTTATATCTGTGTTTATCAATGAATGTGACATAAATTTCCCCTGTGGGTCACATGCACTCCCTCTCCTTCCATCACTCCGTCATGCTTTCTTCTCTATCCCTGACATCCTGCAAATCACAGGCTAATGTGACCTGTTCTGGTCTTGGCTACTTTACCTAAGAAAGAAAGGGATTAGAATGGGGGTTTGGTCATCTATTTCTAGGACTTTAACTAGTCACAAACCTGAGAACATAGCATTTCACTTCAACAAGAAGAGCTGTCCCACACTCAGGGCTCACAGCATTGCTGAACAGGGGCTGGGCCATAGCAGCAGCCCCTTCCCAGGATGGATAGACAGTTTGCTGGCTGCAGCCCTTCTGTAGCTATTCCTGAAATGCAGGCAGCATCTTTCCTTCAGTATCTTGTAAAGAATTTTCCCTTGCTTAGGCTTGTCTGTGATATCTTGGGAGGAATTTAACATTGGGGATTTTTTTTTCTGAAGTTTGTTGCCCCTAAAGAGACAGATTTCTCATACATTTCTTTGGTTTTTGCAAGTAAATATACTATTTCCTAATTGTGTCAAAGTTTATGCTAAAAACAAAAAAAAAATCTGGATACAAAATTCCCAGTTCAAAACACACCCACACCTGAAAAAACCAACCAGCCAACTACCCCTCTACACCACCATTGTAAGATAAACTACTTATATTCCAGATGGGAATGTAAGAAGACAAAGCATGTATAGTTACAATATAACTAATAGTATCAAAGAGATGTAAATGGAGAGACATCAGAAATTGAAAATGTGGGGGCAATAGAGTTAAAATGTAGGGTACCTTTTTCTGATTGGTGTTAAAGTTGTTGTTCATTTAAAATAACCTATTGCAACTATAAGATATGTTATGAGTTACATTTCTTATTGTTTCAAGTAGATACCTGACAGAAACCACAGAAGTAAATAGAGGCTTTCTTTGGTTCCTGGTTCAAGGGATGCAGTCTGTCATGGTAGGGGAAGCATAGCAACTGAGGTACTTCCCTGCTGACATTGGAACATGGTCAGATCATGGCAGCCTATAGGCAGTAGACAGAGCTGCACCAAAACCAGAGGGAATAAAACTCTCAAAGTCTCTCATTTACAAGTCTACTTTAATCATGGGGCCTACCTCCTAAAGGAGTAACTTCCTAGAACAGCAGCACCCAGGAACCAATGAAGTGTTCAAATAAGCCTGAAGGGAACTCTTCAGACCCAAGCAGATATGTGTAACATGATAAATAAAAGACCCAGAGACAGATTTTGGGGTTCAAGTTTCAAGCTGAAGGTTATAAAAGCAAAGCAGCAGGACACTAGCTCTTACTCTACCTCAGATTGAAATGTGATCTTGGCTCCACCAAACCTCAGACTGAAGCCTTTTCTTTGTGGCTAGAAAATCCGGAGACTTCAGTGTCTTTGTATCCTCTATGTGCCTGGAAAATGAATCCCTGATACTGACTACTGGAGACCCTGCTCCTAACTTTTATATCCCTCTAGTGATCCCAACTGCTGAGATAGTCTTTGTGTGAGCTGTTTCTCTTTAGGACTGGATCAACCTTGTGTATCCCTGGGTGGACTTGGACTCACAGAGATCTGTCTACCTCTTAATCCTGAGTCCAAGGAATAAAGGTGTGTACCACCACCTCTTAGCTTCTGGCTGCAGGGATTAAAAGTGTATGTCAATGAAATAATTATTCTTTTGTTTGTTTGTTTTGTTTTGTTATACAGAGACTGTGTATAGAGACTGTTTCACTGTGTAGCTCTAGCTGTCCTGGAACTCACTCTGTAGACCGACTAGACTGGCCTCAAACTCACAGAGATCCGTCTGCCTCTTCCTCCCGAGTGCTGGAACTAAAGGCATGGGCCACCACTGCCCTGACAAAATAGTTATTCTTTAGAAAGCCAAAGTAGGCATAACTGGAGTAAGAAAAAAAGAAAACTTGAAATCAGAGATGAAAATGGAGACATTCCTACTGATACCACATCAGACACCAACATGAACAACTGTATACCAAAAAAATTAGAAAAGCTACAAGAGATGGATAAATTCCCAGACTGTGCAAACTAGTAAAATGAATCATTAAGTATTTAGAAAGCCAGAATACAAGAACAAAACCAAATCAGTTTAAAAAAAAAAGTCTTGGATAAAACATCAAAGCCCAGGATCCAATGTCTTTGTTGTTGAATTGTATCATATTGAATGTATCATTCATCATGTTGAATTGTATCATTAAAGAGAAATTAATACCAGTTCTTCACAAAATTTCAACAAAATGAAAGGTGAGGGAATCCCTCCAGACTTATTCTCTGAGGCCAACCTTTGTCTAATACCCAAAACAAGTAGGGTGCAGTGTAAACAGAAAACCAAAGGCCAAATTCTTGATTAAAATAGATGCAAACATCAACTGAATAGTAGGAAATTAAATCAATAGCACTTTAAAAAGTTCTTTCACTATATCTACTATTCATTACAGTGGTAAAAGGATTGTTCAACACATACCATTCAGTAAATATGGTACATGGTATTAAGATAATCAATCACACAACAAAATAATCATTAATAGATGCAGAAAATAGTCACTAAAACTTAACATAGTTTTGTGATGAAAAAAAAAAACTCTTTCCAAGTTAAATATAGTAGAAGTGCATCCAACACAATAAAGACCATATGTGAAATAAAGCAAACTAGGAAAATCAGACAGTGTTTAAGATCGGGAGCAAGGTGTCCTTCCGCTGAAATGGTACTGGAAGCCCTAGCCAGATCACCCAGGGAAGAGAAGAAAGCAAAGAGCAGCCAAACAGGAGGGGCAAGCCAGCATGCCCAGTTTGCAAGTATGTCGACATGATCTTGTTTATAGAATTGCTAGGGAAGCTCCAAGATGGGAATCAGAGGCTCACAGCATATGCTACTTCTCTGCAGGAAAGAGAGTAACTACAGCATAAGAGCAGCCACCCTTTGAATTGCGTGATGGGAAGGTGGTGAAGAGCTATAATAAACAGGCTTGAGGAAATAGGGAGTGAAACAGAGAGCATAAAAGGGTGCCCCAGAACCAGCTGTATGATAGAGGGTGGGGACAGCAGTAAAAGAGAGAAAAAGAGAAAAACTCACAGAACACAGTTAGCATGGGCCTCTTTGCTATGCAGAAGTGAAGGCTAACAGGCTAGAGATGGCACCGTGGTTAAGTGCCCTTGCTGCTCTTGAGGAGGATCCAGGTTTTGTTTCTAGTACCCATATGGTGGCTCACAGCTGCCTGTAACCATAGTTCTTGGAGATCTACCATATTTCTTTTGGCTCTGCAGGTGCCAGGCACACACATAGTGCACATATAGGCATATGGGCAAAAGACACATGCATATAGAATAAAATCTAAAAACAAAACAAAACAACAACAATAACAACAAAACAAGAAATGCAGACTAATCATTTAAAGGAGAGATTCAGTAATTTGCATACTGCTCCTGAGGACATCCTTCTTTTGAAACAGCACCCCCCTGCAGTGTTAGGAAGCCATTTTAAGGTCCTGTCTGAGCTTCCTGTTTGGGGATT